AACGATAATGTTAGTGAAGAGTGACACACATGATTCATGATTTCTTACACCAGAATATCTCACAGCAATATTTGTAGCGTAGTGTCTTCCAGTCTGACACGGGAGGCCTGATCATGAAGGCCGCCTAAGGATAGTCGGGCCTAATATTTTTAGCTGGTACCTCCCGCTCTGACAAAGAGGCGTGATATGGGCTATGGTTCTCTTTAGCCTGTGATTTCTGGTGTGTCACAGGAGGACTATTCGTGAAAGCTTGGTCTGGAGGGACAACCTGGATCCTGTTTTTGATCTGAACTGGTCATGATTTTCACCTTTTTTGATCTGAATGGTAAAAAAAAAAGTATGACAAAAAAAGAAAAAGTATATAGAGATTGTCATTTAACAAATTGATGTTGATGCTTTGTAATGGAGTAGCCAGAGGGGCCTATACTTCCTTTATAAACTTTTTATAGGCCTATATTTTAAAGAAATGTGTGCATGTTTCTATTTCTACATTTCTTTATTATTCTAGTAACATAAACTACACTGAGAGGAAGAGGAATATCACGGGAAATGTATAGTATGCGTAAATGGGAAAACTAGACAAATGTAAATGATCATTTAGTGTTAACTATGGAGCGTAGTTAACATTATATTAATGTTATCTTATAATGATTAAATTGTGATGGGGTTTTACACCATGTTACTTACCCTCTATTTTTTCGAATAATCTATATTACATTATCTCCAACTTGAATATTGGGGAATATTGGGTTTACTCGGTGAGCTTACAAGCGTTTCAGAAAATATGACTACACATTTGGAAATTAATTTTCTCTGTTCACTATGAACAATTAAAGACAAATATTATTCAGAAAAGAACAAGCCATACCCCATCCCCAAGCCTCAAAAAAACCCTTTTTACCCCCAAAATACGTTGAAAAAATAGTTTCACTGAAAATAAAAACTAATTGATTGGTTATCCAGAAATGATCTCTGGTCATATATAAGATCCAGAAACAAGACGTTATTCGGAAGAAAGCAAAAGAGAGAATGAAAGAGCCTCGGTCCCTATTTTAATGCAAAGGAATGGAACAAACATCAAACATGTGAGCATATATAATTTCCTGGCAGAGAGTCTCAGTTGATGTTGCGAAGGTGTTGTGACCTTACCTATCAGGTCAGCACCTTCTGAATGTCACAGAAAATGTTTGTTAGTATTTTACATTTTCATAATGAAAAAATAATACCGGAAAAGAAGTATACATTGGTGAGACTTCTAGCTTTCAGCAATGTCTATCTGTGTTACATAAACGTATCACAAAAAACTTGGTCATGGATAATTATTGTTTTTTTTGTTCAGCTTCAGGTCTGTGTAAGTTTTACATTCTGAACTTGTTTTTCCAATTCTAATCACGCAAACATAGGCCAGTAAAGGAAAAGGACATCAAGAAATAACGGCAAATGCAGGATACGAGCACACGTCGAATGAAGCAGGGCTATGTAAGGCAACCAGGCCACAATTCTGCCCGTTTTCAGCCATCGCCGGTGCCATGACCGCTTCCGTTTGCTCTGTGCGCCTGGACGATGGCCCGGTGAGGCTCTCCCCTGGAACTCGACAGAAGTAAAGGTTTTTCGTGGATTAAGCTGAGGTATAATAACAATCTGGCTATCTCTTTCAAGCTAGCTAAGGCTTGTCATGTATGCATAAACACACGCTCATATATATATATATATATATATATATATATATATATATATATATATATATATATATATATATGTGTGTGTGTGTGTGTGTGTGTGTGTGTGTGTGTGTGTGTGTGTGTGTGTGTGTGTATGCATATATGTGTGTGTGTGCATAGATACATTTGCATATAAACATATATATACACGTTTACATATATGTGTGTGTGTGAATATGAATATATTGACACTATACACATTATACATACATATTTATGCAATATATACACACATGTATATATATCTATATCTATATATATATATATGTATATATAAATATATCTATATCTATATAATATACATATATATATACGTATGTGTGTGTATAAACACCGTATATGCTGGCGTTTAAGTCGGCATTTGAGATATAAAGTCATGTCTCCAAAACCAAGGATCGACCTGTTCGCCGCCTATAAAATGTGAACCTATACCAATGAAGAATAAACTATAGAAAATGTCGGCGTGACGCTTGTGCACCACGTCCCACACCTCTCGTGGGCCATCAGAGTTACTGAAACTAATGTTTGGCAAGTCTGTTTAACGTTGGGATTAGATTATTATTAATGACAACGCAGGTTAGGGTAGGATGGCTTATGTTAGAAATCAGGTGCGACTAATGTTTAGAATTGTTTATGACGTAGTTATTTCTCTCTATACAACAACGCTGATGCATCTTTGGGGTCGCTTTATCTGGCGAATATAGTCCCATCTCTGAATTATTATCAGCCTTTTAGAGCTGGGTCGACTTCTGTGCCGGCATAGGCGATATATATCTATATATACATTTACATATATGAGCATTAGCATCATATTCATATGTACCTAATATGTGTATTCAAATCCATGAATCTGGTAATTGTAACATTTTTACACACACACACACACATATATATATATATATATATATATATATATATATATATATATATATATGTGTGTGTGTGTGTGTGTGTGTGTGTGTGTGTGTGTGTGTGTGTGTGTGTGTGTGTCTATGCATGTATGACAAGAATGTCCTTGTCACTTATTCCTGTCGCCATAGTTCAACGGAGTGATTTATTAGTTATTTAGCTTAGATTTCAAGTGCTATTCCAGGACTTTTTTAAACTAGTTTTTCTATGGAAGAGGTTAAAAAAAAAAGTTCAGTGCTTGCTAAATCAATATTATGTATTGGAGTGATACATAAGGTATACTTATACTATACATTTATACAGTGAATGTGAGATACTTCTACACGTTATATCGTTTTTTTTTATTCTTCTTTGCTTGAATCCTCTTTCTCTCCGGTGTTTGATTCCTCTTGCTGTTCGTCGTTGTAGACTGTCTTGTCTTCCAGTGTCTTTTTCTCTTCGGCTTTGGTGATGGGGATGTTGACAACCGAAGGAGGGACTGCGTCGCACTTGTGGCTCAGCTCAAGCCGCCCCTCTTTCTGCGTCGCCGTCAACGTCTCGGCTTTGACGTGTGGAGGAAGCGTTGTCACGTGACGAACCATCACTGACGAGTCACTGTCACGCCCACGACCCTCCACAACCAGCAGTCCATCTTCCGTGAACGCCCGCACTTCGTCACATCCACCCACGTCTAAGCTGTACCGCCACACCTTTGCACTCTTCATCTCATTGCTGCAGTCTTTACAGTCTTTGGTGTCTACAGTCTGCTCTTTCTCCTTGGTGTTAGAACATTTCTTGTTATTTTGTGTTTCTCCTTGCTTTTTTAGATTCTTTTTCTTGGGATATTGCTCACTCTTGGCAGACCGAGTGTCGTAGCCCGAACTAACAATCAGCAAGGGAGTGTCGTCGAAAAGTGGGCGGAGATGTCTCAGTGATCTCCAGGCGGGTGTGATGTAGGGACACGACCTTTGTCGACGTGCGAGGCACCGACGAGGCCTCATCGTCCAGCTCCTGTCGTCCATCATGTCCATCACGGACTCCACTGCCTTCATGGAGTCTTGTCTGGCGAGGAACGAGTCCATGATATCCCTCTGTGTTGGATGTAGACCCAGAACACGAAGCATCTTTGCGCTACCTTATGTTAGCAGATGTTAACTCTTCGATGCAAAGCAGGTTTCTTGACCAAATATGCGCCGTGGTATCTCCTGATATCGGAAAAGCGATCCTTGGNGTGTGTGTGTGTGTGTGTGTGTGTGTGTGTATGTATATCTATGCATGTATGACAAGAATGTCCTTGTCACTTATTCCTGTCGCCATAGATCAACGGAGTGATTTATTAGTTATTTAGCTTAGATTTCAAGTGCTATTCCAGGACTTTTTTTAAACTAGTTTTCTATGGAAGAGGTTAAAAAAGTTCAGTGCTTGCTAAATCAATATTATGTATTGGATGATACATAAGGTATACTTATACTATACATTTATACAGTGAATGTGAGATACTTCTACACGTTATATCGTTTTTTTTATTATTCTTTGCTTGAATCCTCTTTCTCTCGGTGTTTTGATTCCTCTGTCTGTTCATCGTTGGAGACTGTCTTGTCTTCCAGTGTTTTTTTCCTCGGCTTTGGTGATGGGGATGTTGACAACCGAAGGAGGGACTGCGTCGCACTTGTGGCTCAGCTCAAGCCGCCCCTCTTTCTGCGTCGCCGTCAACGTCTCGGCTTTGACGTGTGGAGGAAGCGTTGTCACGTGACGAACCATCACTGACGAGTCACTGTCACGCCCACGACCCTCCACAACCAGCAGTCCATCTTCCGTGAACGCCCGCACTTCGTCACATCCACCCACGTCTACGCTGTACCGCCACACCTTCTCTGCACTCTTCATCTCATTGCTGCATTCTTTACAGTCTTTGGTGTCTACACTCTGCTCTTTCTCCTTGCCGTTAGTACATTTCTTGTTTTGTGTGTCCCTTTTTTTTAGATTCTTTTTCTTGGATTTTCCCCACTCTTGGCAGAACCTGTCCCGAACGAACAATCAACCAGGGAGTGTCGTCGAAAAGTGGCGGAGATGTCTCAGTGATCTCCAAGCGGGTGTGATGTAAGGACACGACCTTTGTCGACGTGCGAGGCACCGACGAGGCCTCATCGTCCAGCTCCTGTCGTCCAGTCGTCCATCATGTCCATACGGACTCCACTGCCTTCATGGAGTCTTGTCTGCGAGGAACGAGTCCATGATATCCCTCTGTTGGATGTAGACCCAGAACACGAAGCATCTTTGCGCTACCTTATGTTAGCAGATGTTAACTGTTCGATGCAAAGCAGGTTTCTTGACCAAATATGCGCCGTGGTATCTCCTGATATCGGAAAAGCGATCCTTGGTTAAGTTATCGCAGTGGCAGCTGAACTGTCTCTGAGTTCGCCCTTGCCACTCGCGCGCTTTTATCCACAGAAAACGTTCCCTGACGACACGCGAAAGTACTAGAGAAAACGAGAATGTACTCCAGAACCTTCTTGTAGACTGCGGAACTGAGATGTGTTTAACAAATTACTGCATGTACATATCACTTTTTCAGTGCATGTTAATTTTTACGGTATTATTGGAAATGAAGCCCCATATCCACAGGATTAAGATAATTTACAGAAGTCTATAATTTGCTTTTCTGAATATTTTCCAATGATTACTATTGCCTCATTACTAATTTCTCACCTGACAGTAGTAATAATACCGTCAATACTATTACATTTTCATTACTTTTGTTGATTGCCATTTTTATCATTATATTCATTCTATCACAATTGTAGTTACCATCACAATGCAACTTGTTCACATCAAACTGTTGCTTTATTTTTTTCATCAGTGATTATGTGTGAGTGCATCTCAGTAATGATGGTGGAAATTGATAATGCTGACGTAGATACTAATGATACGTTTATAACTTCAGAATATTCTCTAGCATTAGCAAGACAGACCACATGAATAACTACTTATACACCATGCGCACGCATACATACATAAACACACACACACGCATATATAATATAATTATATATATATATATATATATATATATATATATATATATATATATATATATACTGTGTGTGTCTGTATTCATGTATATACACACCACTATAATATCGGGGTGGGGGGGATTCAAAATCAATCAAATGTCAATCACTGGAGCTGTGTTTTGGTATCAACGTACTTCTATTTCATATTTTCATTTTTGTCTCTCGACATTACTGCTAAGCACCATACGATCAATACTTTTGATTTGTTTCCCTCAAAATTCACGAGGATAAAACGATCGAATATTTGTTTTTTGGTGAAAATAATGATAACCACATACACGCACACATTTACCCTGCGTTATCAGAATCATGTTTTTATTTTTCTGAATTTCATATAGTTAAAGCCAAATATTTTGAGGAGAACTTTCTGGTGTGTGTAGAAGGTTCTCGTTTTCTTTATGCGCAGCCGTTCTCTGTCGTATAAAGGGGGTGACGTAGGAAGGAATACTCAGTTTCCGTTCGACCGTTACACAGAGCACTTACTGGAAAGGAAGCAAGTAAAAGCGCTCAACGAAGTACAGACTGCAAGTAGCTTTGAGTCGATAAGAATGCTTAGTGCACCGAGCCTTTGTCCTGCAATGAGGGAAGTGATGGACACCTTCCTTCCCTGGCAAGACGATGCCTCGGATGTGGTGGACATTTTGGACGACTGGGACGACAGGAGCTGGACGATGAGGCCTCATCGCTGCCTCACACATGGACGAAGATCCCGACCCTACGACATCACACCCTCCTGGAGATCGTTCACGCAGCTCCGCCCATTTCTCGACGACGTTCCCCTGCTGGTCGTTCGTGCAGGCGACGAGGCTACCTTCGCCAAGAAGAGAGGAACAAACGTCTGCAAAAACAACTCCAGGAACGAAGCAAACTCGAAGATTAACAAGAATGTGACGAGTGAGGCAAAGAGAGAGGAACACTGCAAAGATCTAAGCAACACCATATCCAGTAAGAACAATGACGAAGAAGAGAAAAGAGTCGATAAAGCATGGCAGTACAGCGTGGATGTGGGCGGATGTGACGAAGTGCGGGCGTTCACGGAAGATGGGCTGTTGGTGGTGGAGGGTCGTGGGCGTGATAATGACTCGTCAGTGATGGTTCGTCACGTGACAACACTTCCTCCACACGTCAAAGCCGAGACGTTGACGGCGACGCAGAAAGACGGCCAGCTTGTGGTAAGCCACAAATGTGAGAAAAATATTTCTGTAGTCAACATTCCCATCTCCAACCCTGACGAACAGAAGACGTCGCAAAAGGGAAAAGCGGAGAAGACGGAAGAGAAGCAAAAGGAAGGCAGTGCTAATAATTCTTCGGAAGGAGTGACTTCTTCAAAAGACGCTGCTACAGCAATGCAATCTTCACAAGTAAATGAATAAAATTAATTTCAGGTTATATTTGTCACTAATTTGTGTTCACAGCAAGGTGTCCATTGTAAGTACAAAATGTAGTTACGTAAGTTTAATAAAGCCATAAAACGAACTTTAAATCTTTATCATATCCTTCGAAAATTCTACCACAAATTCTTGTAATCACACAAAAATCGATGAAATAGTGTTTTAACCAAAGTTAAGAAAATAATGATTTTTTTTTCTCTCTAGTTTTACAATATACACAACTCTGTAACCACTAAAGAGAATGGTCACAAAAGAAGTAAAACAGTTTCGCTTTGTTTGTGCACACACACCAGGCGCGATGCCACGGGGGGGGGGGGGGGGATGCGACCCCCCCCCAAAGGTCACAAATCGTCACAAATTACAGTTTACTCGGCAAACTTGGTGGTCGGCATAATTTAAGAAATCAATGATCATGGTATGTAACTCGTTTTCATTTGAATTTGGTCCTTTTCGAAACAAGATATTAAAAAGTATGAAGTTTGGATTTATTTTTAAAAATGTTACTCGGTAACCTTGCTCCTCCCGAAAAAAAAAAAAGTTTTCTAGCGCTGCCCCTGACACACACACACATTGTATAATACGTGTATGTATGATACATGTGTTTACTTGTATCTGCGACAAGCGAAGATACCCTGTTTATTTACAAGAGGTTGAAGGATAAGCAGAAGGAAGAAGGTAAGAAGTGCAGGGAAGAAAAGGTAAAGAGGAAGAGAAAAACAAGAGAGTCATAATTGAAAATCGTTTTCTTTTACGTAATCTCATGATTTTACCTGAAAAAGCATTATATCCTTTATGTTTGAAGCACACACACACACACACACACACACACACTGAGACTGAGAGAGAGACAGAGAGAGAAAATAGAAAGAGATAAATAGAGACATAGAGAGAGAGAAGAGAGAGAAAGAGAGGAGGGGAGGGGAGGGAGAAAGAGAAATAGAAGATAGAGAGGATAGATAGCTTGATAGATAAATAGATAGAAAGAGAACAAATATGGACGCCAGCCATTCACGCCAGCTACCAAATTGTAACTGCATAGCTATATCGTATTCATAAATTCATCTCAATGTATATATATATATATATATATATATATATATATATATATATATATATATATACTCTGAACACATGACATAGAAAAGAAAAAGAACCAGAAAAATCTGATTTCTTATTTTTCCTTACCCTTTTTCTTTTTCTTTCCACCACCGGTTTTCCCCTTCCTCTGTTTGCTTTTCATTCTCATTTATCAGTAACCACAGATTTTTCGCGTTGTAGATTCCTCAAAATCTCTCTTATTTTTAAAAATCTTTGTCTTCATCTTGTCTTCTATTTCCAATTTGAGAAGTAATTTTTTTGGTCTAGAAGTTTTTACTTCTAGACCAAAAAATTGATTCTGATATTTTTGGAAGGCTTGTTAAAACATCGGGATTTTATTTTACGGTTTTATTGATCTTACGTTACAAAACAGTACACAGGTACAGACAAATCACAAATATTTGGAATGTACAAAGCTTACTATAACGTAGTTTACTTACAAAGATAACATATTTCAAGCAACACTGTTTGTCGTTGAATTAGAGTTTACTTCTGAAGAATTATCGACACTTTTCACTTGTTTGTCTTCTTTCGCACTTTGACTCTCCGACGTCTTGTGTTCGTCGTCGCTGGTGATGGGAATGTTAACAACTGAAGGAATGTGTTTTTTGCACTTGTGGCTCAACACGAGCCGCCCGTCTTTCTGCGTCGCCGTCAACGTCTCGGCTTTGACGTGTGGAGGAAGTGTTGTCACGTGACGAATCATCACTGACGAGTCACTGTCACGCCCACGACCCTCCACAACCAGCAGCCCATCTTCCGTGAACGCCCGCACTTCGTCACATCCGCCCACATCCACGCTGTACTGCCATGGCTTGGCTGCCGTTTCCTTTCCTTCATCTTCCTTATTGACGGAGTTGTTTCTTGGTTCTTTGTTGCTGACAGTGTTCTTTGGCGCAGTGTTTACGTTCTTGTAGTCGCCCTTCGTGCTCTCTTGGTTCTTGAGGTTATTTTTGGTGTTTCTTATGGTCTTAGCAGATGAAGTTTCGTCGCTAGAATGTGCGATTAGCAAAGGAAGTTTTAGAGGTGGGCGGAACGGCCTGAGTAATCTCCAGGCGGGCGTGATGTCGTAGGGTCGGAATCTTCGTCCACGTGTGAGGCAGCGACGAGGCCTCATCGTCCAGCTCCTGTCGTCCCAGTCGTCCAAAATGTCCAACACGGAGTCCACCACATCCGAGGCATCGTCGTGCCAGGGAAGGAAGGTGTCCATCACATCCCTCTGTGCAGGATGTACATGCAGTATACGAAACATTGTTAGGAACTCTCGAGTACTTGCAGTGTTTAATCCGCTGAGGTCTTTCTTGGCGAAGAGCTTCTCCTCGCGTATATGTTGTCACCGTGATGGCTGAAGGGAGTCTGCGTGTCCCTGCCAGCGTCGCCCCTTTTATGCAACAGACAACGGCTGCATCTGGAAGCGCCGGAGCAAACGAGAAGCTTCTATACGTCCCAGAATATTTCTTTTCTGCGATATGGACACTTTTTCATATCAAATGAATAGCTACCTAAAGATTTGATTTAGGAGTATTTCAATAATAGAAAAATTAACTGTGAGCCTTCACGTTTATAGATTTCGGATTTTCCCTCGTATCACTCTGGAAATTTCTCTCGCATCAGTTACACGGTGGAGGAAACGGAAACGAATATCATACACACAAACATACATAAGCATATATGTACATATATATATATATATATATATATATATATATATATATAATATATATATAAATGAATGTGTTTATGCATGTATATATACATATAAGTATTAATGTATAAATACTCACATATATATGCATAATATATATACATTCACATATATGCATAATAT